AATTCTCGTCCCATCGCGTGATATATGGTATTCCTGGCGATACTCTTAAGCGATCGCGGATTAGATGAAAGATTCCTCAAGAGTGATGTCAACTCTTGCGAATTGCATCGAATGGAACCAATGAGTAGTTCTTTGTTGAGCTGTTGTAGACATGAGTAGAGCTCGTTGTGAGACATCGTCTGATAGTAAAGACAAATGAGTTTCGAGAAGTGCTGTTCATTGGACTTGTCGTCGATCAGGAGTTCCTCTTTGCGGAGCAAATAATGTATATAATAGAAGATCACCTAAACATGGGATACAAAGCATGCATTAGTGGTGACATTGAGTGGTGAACAGATGTATGCATTGATTACATGATCCGAAGATCTCTTGAGAAAGACAGAGCTCTGTGAGTGACAAATGGTGGGCTCTGTGGAGCACTTGACGTCAGGATTGGCCCCAAATTTCATGAGTGTTTGAGATAAGTCGTGGACATAATCCAAATCGGAAGGCATTCTGGCGTTTTGGACCAAATCCAAGAGCGCCAATAAGATGTGTTGATTCCTCTGAGAAAAGTCGACGTTTGGGTCGAGTTTGTGCTGCAATAAGACGGTGAGCACCTGTCGTATGAAAGCAAAGGCCGCCGGTTTGTCACAATTGGTTAGAGACATGTATTCACTGGCACTGAAGACTAGAACGTGGAGTGGAGTCAAAGTGTTGCGATAGTAGGAGCAGTTGGGGTTTGCGCCGTATTTGCACAAAATGCGGACACAATTCAAATACGAGACCTTCTTTGAGTGACTCAACAGATGCAGTAAACCCTTGTTTAGCAGTGGAGTGAAGCATAGGATCAGTGGCACCGAGCCATCCCTTCCCACGCAGTTGGGGTCCGCGCCGTATTGCAGTAACATATACAGCAACTCGAACCGAAACTCCCAGTCCTTCACGTGCCTCAGCACACAGCACAGGGCGCTATTGCCCTTTCGGTTGATGCTTTGGATGACCCCCTGCTGTAGAATAAACCTAAAGACTAATCCAAAAACCGATAATTAGTTCCACAAATGATCCTTAAGCGCGAGTCCGGATGTGCTTACTGTGCAACATATCCCAAGTGGTCCACCGGAGTGTCTGTTCGGAGCCATTATGCGATGGGCTGTTGTATTGGGACTCCTCGAGAGAGTACCTGACAATGAGTGCGTGGAGGGGAGTATTGCCGAGACTGTCCGGTTCATTGACCAGTTGTTTGCATCCCATTTCGAACAACAGCTTCAGTGTCGCCAATGTCTCGTTCGACGACTTCTTCCCCAACAGTAACAACACGTGAAGAACTGTCAGCTGTTGTGTTGACGTGCGTTGAGTGAGGTCTGCGTTACACTAATGGCACACAACAGACACAGTCATCACTCAAATACAACCAACGAATGCATACCTGTATTAAGAGCTCCAAGAACTTGATGTCTTGGAGGACCGCCTGATGTATCGGGAAGTACTCGTCGTACAGTTGGTTGATCTCATCGGGTCTCTCGCTGATGAGATAGTTGACGCAATTCCAGGCGCCCCTCTCGAAGGCCGAGTGCAACAGAGGCTTCTTCTGGCACTGCCACGGAAGCCAATTATCCTCACACCTAACCATCACGTACTCCAAAATGGACGCCTGGTCTCCGTCGATGGCGTAATAGTCGGCCGACTGGAGCCTATCATTGGCGGAGTTGTGTTGGGAACCGCTGTTGTATAGGATGCCGGAGCGTCGGCCCAACTCGCAGTTGGGTGAGTGGGGGCCGGGATAGCACATCCGGGCCTCGCAGTCGACACGAGCGCCATATTTGACGAGAAGCTCGACGATCTCTATGGGGCCGTTGAGAGTCGCGATGTGCAGCGGAAGACTACATGTGCCCCGATTGCAGTCACAGCCGTAGCCGAGCAGCCATTTGGTCAGTTCCACGCTCTTGAGACTCACCGCCCGCTGCAGAATGTTATAGCCGTTGCAGTCGATCACTAGCAACAGGTTCTCGCCCTATGGTGAGGACCAAACATATTGCATACACTTTGGCATACGAGGGGTGAAGGGGTGCCGATGTGACAGACCTTTGGGATCAACTCGAGATACGTCTCGTGGATGTAATTCCAGTTGATATGATTGGCGTCATTCGAGTAGTTGTTGTTGAGCTCCACAAGAAGTGCCGACACTATCTGTTTGGTTGTGTCGCAGATATAGCCCGTGGGATACGAGTTAAACAAATGGCTAATGGTTTTCATGTTTGAATTGCTGGCGAAGATGTGCGACAAGAATGAGCCCATCGTTGCAGACCTTCAGACACACCACTCAATGGCCGAACCAATCACTCGAATCGCTTCCAATGGCAATCTTCGGGTCAATCGATGCAAACATGCATATCGTGTCGCTTGTGGTGATGTCTGACGCGTTGAATGCGATTGCAATGCAATCAATGGCTAACCTCTTGTGGCCTCAGATGAGACACGCATTCAATTGCGTCCATAATATCGTTGCATTCAATGCCACAAACAGATCAATGTTTGCATGACTTTTGACATTTAAGTTAACATTGAGTCCACTCCGCAAACACCGTTACACTCTGTGCGAGGGGTGGGCGACACGCACAGCGTAACGGTGTATGTGAGCAGTGATGCGATGCAATGCCAGCCAATGCCGACGTGTAATGCATTGACTGAAGGCTTGTTTGCGTGAAAACGACAGCAAAACACGTCAATAGGTTTTGGCATCAAATCAGTCACTCATTCATCAAAATCACCGCTCAGTTGATCCATAGTTGCGATGCATTTGCCGACACATTCACTGTGTGTGATGGCAGTGGTGATGACCATATGGTGGTCGCGAGTGGACGCCTACTTCCTGGTGATCGACGCTCACGCCGAGGAGTGCTTCTTCGACAAAGTGTCCACCGGAACCAAACTCGGCCTCACCTTCGAGGTGGTCGAGGGAGGCTTCCTCGACATCGACGTCAAGATCACCGGTCAGTACCACTATTGCGCTGCACGAGTGACCATTTGGCTCATAATTGGCGCTGAATTGTCGTTTGATTGCATAACTGTCCGCAAACTAACCCATTGTGTGTCTTGTGATGACAGGTCCGGACAATAAGGTGATCCACTCGGAGGAGAGGGCATCGAGTGGTAAATACACGTTCGCCGCGCATATGGACGGCAACTATCTCTACTGTTTCGGCAATAAGATGTCGACAATGACGCCAAAAGTGGTGATGTTTTCGATGGACGTCGGCGACGCTCCCAAGACTGAGGAACAGCTCAAAGCACAAGACGCTAATCACAACAAACT